CCCGTCTTTCGCGATGCGATACTGCCCACAACATCTCGTTGCTTTATCGCTTTCTCGAAGGCGTTGTGCCAACAGATCCTTTTTTTTTTTCGACAACGAGCGATTGATTTGGGGTATCTCTAAGTTTTGGGGCCATAAGAGGATATTTGTTGGACTCTGACTTGGACTGCTTGGATGCTTGGGATCTCCTCCAGGGAGCCGTATACACCAGTAAAACCGAGCATGATCCTTGTTGGATCCTTTGGCTGTTCTCACCTCGCCATCCCACACAGAGGCCTTGATGTGTCAAGTTGCGTCATACAAATTGTGAAACGGCACCTGACAATGCTGTGACGTACTGTAGTGAGGTTCTACCATGTGCAGGAACCACTGAGCCATGGCCCCGAAGAAGACACTCAAACCTGTGCTCAAGCAGGGGCACCCGGTTGGCACGAAGTTCAAGACCCCCTTTCAGGCTTGCTTGGACTTGTTTGGCAAGAAGACGCCTTCACCTCCAGAGTTGTGGACTCACTTTGAGCCATTCCAGGAGTTCCAACCCGAGGATTTGGCGCGCCTCACGCTACGTGTCCGAGGAAGCCACGCCATTGATCTGCGTAAAGCTTTCTTTGTTGTGGGGCATCTCAACGTCGCTTGGTGTTCTTGGCGTTCAGTTTGCTTTTTCCAACTGGCACAGTACCGATTCTTCTAGGGAACACCCCATGCTTCGCGTGTCCGTTGTTGTGCAGGAGCTGAATCGACCGTCGTCTGCCGACCGCGCCGATGCAGTTCAGGTTCAGTCCGTGTGTCTCATGCTAGTGCACTACATCCTGGCACGGGAGATTGTGCGGACGGCTGCGCAGGTAGAGGAAGCGCTCCAGAACTTTGCCGGCACCGAGCCTTCTAGAGTTGTCTTCTTAGCGAGGAGCGCGCTCACGTGAGCAGCCGCCAACCTATTACCACTGACCTTAGTACGGGGCGATTCATCTCTGCGTTGTTTTTGTGCTTTTCCGTGAAAACCCCTCGGGGATTGACAACAAACCATACCCCTGTCCATGCATACTGCACAATCCAAACCATGGAATCCGATAGGGCACTCGCCCCGGTGAAACGAGACTACTCCAACTATATACTTTTGACGCTAACTCACATGGCTGCGCCGAGCTTCGCCTGTCTCGCCAGATTTTTTCCCCTCGATTCTTCTAGTCTTTGCTATGCTATCCCCGGACGGTCGTCTGTCTTCCATGTGCCAAGGTAAGGTGTCCAGCACGTATGTGCGCACATGGACTACCGCAGACCTCATTGCAGCTGTGCGTGCGGTGCGCCTATGCAACATAGATAATCGGTGGGATCGTGGAAGTTTTCGTATGCGCTATGCAGGGGCGGGCTTGCTTGCGCTTTTTGCCCGTAAATATGGTACCGGTAAGAGTGTGCCACTGCGCGGTGCTTTCATTACACGGGCTGCTGCTTTTGGTGTTTTGACCGGAGGCCGAGGGCTTTGTCGCTCAGTTGCATACTATATCTATTCTCTGCAGCTGGCGCTAGATGGTTTTGTAGGCTTTTTTTTCTCCGCCTCGAGACTAGAGAGACTTCCGCATGTATGGTGCAACCCTATCAACCTGTTCTCATTCCACGAGCCATTGACTCAGGCGAGCTTATTCGCAATGAGCTGGGCGCCCTCTCTCCTGCGGAGGACCATTGGATTGAAGAGTTGTTGCTTGCGCACGATGATGCTATGGTCTGGGAGACTACGAAGGGAAGACCGAGGGTTCGCGGACAGACAGCCGAGGGGCAGGAATGGGACATCGAGGGCGAACGTGCAATGTACCGGCATGACGCGGCTGCCGACAGCAGTATGCCAGCTGCAGGGGATGCCGATGATCGTCTTCTCTGCGGCTGCTTGTCCACGTGGGAAGCGACGACCTTGGAGCAGTTGGGTCTCAGTATCTTAGACAAAGCTCAGAGCAAAGGGCTTTCTTGGGGTGAGGCTTGCCACTGCGGATTCCGACCCATGAACCTAGCTGGTTTTGAGAAGACTCGACGGATGTGGTCAGATTTCTGCGCTACGGCTGGCGGTTGGACACGGACATGTTCACACCGGCCCTCCCAAGGATTTCCTCGGGGAGGATTGTGCGACAAGGTCTTGCGAGATCGCACACGTGAAATGTGCACCTTGTGGCTGGACGAGGATGCTTTTGCGCGCAGGTACTTGATTGTTCCTTCGATGCCGAAAACCGGTGGGGCCACGCGAGTCCTGGCGCTGCTGGACCAAAGGTCCATGCTTGTGGGGTGTGATCCTTTTCCGGCGACGTTTCCACCCCAGTTGTGGCTTCGGTGGGCGAAGCAGCTACAACCGATGCTACGCAAGGAAGCCGCGCGGGCAAAGGTCCCTGAATTCATTCTCCAGCACTGGCACGTTGAGAACGCGTGCTGCTGCTTTGCGAAAGTACTGGACTTCTTGAGCGGCCTCAAGGGCCATTCTATATACCAGGAGATGTGACTGCTCAGTCGCCACACCCGTGACTCCGGTCAGTCGGGAGGACAAACCACCAGCAGTGCCGGAACACAAACTCGGAGTCATTCCCACAGTGTTTTCTTCCATTCCCACTGACCAGATCCCAGTCTCCTGCGCCTACGTGCTGCGCTTCTGTTGCCGCAGCTTGCGGAGACTCTCTCGAGCTGACATGTAACAGCTGCATCGCGTTTTGTGCCCACGGTGGTTCTTGAAACGTAGCTAGACTAATAACAGGTGCGTATTTCTGATACATCATTCACCCTCCACCTCATCCTTGCTCTTCAGGTGCTTGGGAATCAAGTTGACCTGGCGCATCTTTCCCAGCTGCTCTGTATCCCTCAGGACAGAACATCTTCGAAGAGGCACTTCAAGACAAGCAAGCCAATGAGAACCCTTTCAGACGCACCTGACAGACAAAATGAACATGATCCTTTACACGCAAGGCGATGTTTAGATCTGAAAGCCAGATGCTT